TCGAGTTGGCGGCAGTTGTGCATGCTCTTTTGACTTGGAGACATCTTCTATTGGGAAGAAAAGTGGACATTTTCACTGATCACAAGAGTCTCAAGTACATCTTCACTCAGCCTAATCTCAACCTCAGGCAAACTCGATGGGTCCAAATGATTCAAGAGTATAATCCGAGTATCGAGTATACTCCAGGCAAGGCTAATGTGATTGCTGACGCATTGAGCAGGAAGGGCTACTGCAACAATCTGATTCTCAAGCCTTATCAACCCAAGCTTTGTGAAGCTTTCCGCAAACTTAATCTGCAAGTTGTTCCTCAAGGTTTCCTAGCTAACCTTCTAGTCTCTCCTACCTTGGAAGACCAGATTCGCCAAGCTCAGCTTCTTGATGCTATGGTGAAAAAGGTGAAGATTGGGATTGCCAAGAGTCAGTCCAAGTACAGGTGCTACCGCCTTGATGACAAGGACACTCTTTTCTTCAATGATCGTATTGTTGTACCCAAAAGTGACCTCCGTAAAGTGATCATGAACGAGGCTCACAATTCTCTCCTCTCCATTCACCCTGGGAGCACGAAGATGTATCAGGACTTCAAGCAGGCTTATTGGTGGACTCGAATGAAGCGCGAGATTGCTCAATTCATGAATGAATGTGATGTCTGTAGAAGAGTGAAGGCAGAACACCAAAGGCCAGCAGGTCTCCTCCAACCTCTTGCCATTCCAGAATGGAAGTTTGATCACATTGAAATAGACTTCGTGACTGGGCTCCCATAGTCCAAGCGTGGCAATGATGATATATTCGTTGTCATCGATAAACTCACCAAAGTGGCTCACTTTCTGCCTGTCAAAGAGTCGATCACTGCAGCTCAATTGGCGGAACTCTATACCTCTCGTATTGTCTCTCTGCACGGTATTCCTCAAGTGATCTCTTCAGACCGTGGCAGCATCTTTACCTCAAAGTTTTGGGATTCTTTTCAGAAGGCCATGGGCACGAACATCCGCTTCAGCACAGCTTTCCATCCTCAAACTAGCGGTCAAGTCGAGCGTGTCAACCAAATTCTTGAAGATATGCTGAGGGCTTGTGTGATCTCCTTCGGCATGAAGTGGGAGGATTGTCTTCCGTATGCTGAATTCTCCTACAACAACAGTTTTCAAGCAAGTTCGGGCAAGGCCCCTTTTGAAATTCTGTATGGCAGGAAGTGCCGTACCCCTCTCAACTGGTCTGAAGCCGGTGAACGTCAGCTTTTGGGTAATGACTTAATCACAGAGGCAGAGGAAATGTGCAAAGTCATTCGTGATAACCTCAAAGCAGCCCAATCCCGCCAGAAGAGCTACTATGATAGTAAGCACCGTGATTTGGCTTTCGAGATCGGAGATCATGTTCACCTCCGCGTCTCTCCTATGAAAGGTATTCGTCGCTTCGGTATCAAAGGGAAGCTTGCCCCTAGATACGTGGGACCTTTCAAGATTGTCAGCAAGAGAGGCGACCTCGCCTATCAACTCGAGCTTCCTTCAAACTTTGCAAATGTTCATGACGTGTTCCATGTCTCTCAGCTTCGAAAGTGCTTCAAGACTCCTGACCACACCGTCAACTTCGAGGACATTGAGCTCCAAGAAGATCTCTCTTATCGTGAGCACCCAGTTGCTATTCTTGAAGAGACTGAACGCAAGGTTGTCTGAAAACTGATTATGTTTTTGCTTTCAAGATTGTATGAAAACTGATTATGTTTTTGCTATGTTCACGTGATTGCAATTGTATTTTACGATCCCTTTTGGCTCAAGGTCACTAAGGGACTTTTGTTAAGCTCTTTGAATAGCTGCATGTCATGCTTTACTTTGCCATGTTCATATCATGTAGCATATAGTTTTGTTGCTCCGAAGAGGGCTACCTGATCTGAAATTCCAGACAAGTGTTAATTTCACTAAGTCTGAAATCTGTTTGTCATATGCATTTTTGCCATGCTTGTTTGAACCTATTAATGGATGAATTGGCCGTATCTTAGTGCTAGACTTTTGTTAAGCATCTTGTGTGCATCCCTGCATTGTATTTTGTTGTCATGTTTGGGTGTTGTAGCATGTTCATTTCCTTGCATTTAGATGCCTACTTGCTGTAAATCGCAGACCGGTGTCATTTTTGAATCGCTTGCCATTTCCAAACCGTAACTCCGATTCCGGCGTTCTTTATATCGTTTTCAAGCGATTTCATCTCATCTTTCCAGTGGCACACTTGGAATTCCAAGTTTAGGCCAGGTTCATGCGTTTCCTGTCATATCTTGCATTTTGCATCCCGCATCGCATCCCGCATAGCATATCATCATCGCATCGTCTTGTTTGGGTTCTTGCACGTGGTTGATTGTATCCTTGTTGCTTGTTTGTCTTATTTGGGTAGAGCCGGGAGACGAGTTCGGTAACGAGGAGCCCGTTGAGTTTTCTTTCGAGGATCCAGTCAACTCTGACAACTGTGCAGGCAAGATGATCATACCCTCGAAATCACTACTATCTTTGCTATGCTAGTTTGCTCGCTCTTTTACTATGCCATTGCTACGATGCCTACCACTTGCTTGCAAGCCTCCCAAATTGCCATGTCAAACCTCTAACCTACCATGTCCTAGCAAACCGTTGATTGGCTATGTTACCGTTTTTGCTCAGCCCCTTTTATAGCGTTGCTAGTTGCAGGTGAAGATTGGAGGCCGTTCCTTGTTGGGACATTTATTTACTTGTTGGGATATCATTATTTTATCTTGTTATCTTAATGCATCTATATACTTGGTAAAGGGTGGAAGGCTTGGCCTCTCGCCTAGTGTTTTGTTCCACTCTTGCCACCCTAGTTTCCGTCATATCGGTATTATGTTCCCGGATTTTTGCGTTCCTTATGCGGTTGGGTTATAATGGGAACCCCTTGATAGTTCGCCTTGATTAAAGCTTTTCCAGCAATGCCCAACCTTAGTTTTACCATTTGCCACCTAGCCTTTTCTTTCTCTTGGGTTCTGCAGACTCAAGGGTCATCATTATGTTAACCCCCCCCCCCGGTCCAGTGCTCCTCTGAGTGTTGGTCCAAACCGTCAGCCGCCGGTGGCTACCAGGGGCAACTCTGGGCTGGCCTACCGGAAGTTTAGACAATCTGAGTGTGCCATGAAAAAGAGATATGTGCAGCTCCTATCGGGATTTGTCGGCACATTCGGGCGGTGTTGCTGGATTTGTTTTAACCTGTCGAAGTGTCTTGAAGAACCGAGATACCGAGTCTGATCGGAACGTCTTGGGAGGAGGTCTATTCCTTCGTTACCGTGAGAGCTTGTCATGGGCTAAGTTGGGACTCCCCTGTAGTGATTGAACTTTCGAAAGCCCTGCCCGCGGTTATGAGCAAATGGGAATTTGTTAATGTCCGGTTGTAGATAACTTGAACCTTAATTAATTAAAATGAATCAACTGAGTGTGTTACCGTGATGGCCTCTTCTCGGCGGAGTCCGGGAAGTGGACACGGTGTTGGAGTAATGTTTGCGTAGGTTGCTCTCTAGTTTCACGCTCGCGCTTTGCCTCCTCTTCTCGCTCTCTTTTGCGAATAAGTTAGCCACCATACTTTTTAGTCGCTTGCTGCAGCTCCTCTCATATTTTACCTTGCCTTACCTATAAGCTTAAATAGTCTTGATCGCGAGGGTGCGAGATTGCTGAGTCCCTATGGCTCACAGATTACTATTACACCAGATGCAGGGCCTGATGATTCCGCTCCAGGAGACGCGTATGAGCTCAAGTGGGAGTTCGACGAGGACTCTCAACGTTACTATGTTTCCTTTTCCGATGATCAGTAGTGGTGCCCAGTTGGGGGTGATTGGGACCGTGTCGCATGTTGGGTTATCTTTTATTTTGGCGCCGTAGTCGGGCCATGAGTGTTTGGATGATGTAATGTTATTTATGTACTTGATTGACGTGGCGAGTGTAAGCCAACTATGTTATCTCCCTTTTATTATTTATATTACATGGGATGTTGTGAAGATTGCCTAACTTGCGACATATGCCTTCAATGCGATTATGTCTCTAAGTCGTGCCTCGACACGTGGGAGCTATAGTCGCATCGAGGGTGTTACAGCCTTGCCATGCCACACTTTCTCACGCTTTTTTTTGTCAAAGTTGTCTAAAGTTAGTTCCATAAAATGAAAGTCACAAGTTGGCAAGCCTTAAGAAAAATTTGTCACATTTTTTGCATGTATGCTATGTGGATCCCTAATGCGGCAGAACATCTTACCTAAAATACTCTTCTAAATTGGTTAAACTTGTCTAAGCTTTACAATCTAAGGCAACTATAGTCACGAAGCAAACAACCAATAGTATATGAACAACAGCAAACTAGCTTAACATGATCAAACACATTATTTATCGCAAGGTACTTTGGACACTATCTTCAACCTATCAAAAACTTGAATTAAAAAAATCAAGGGGCTATCTTTAAGCTATGAAACACCAAAAAGTAATTCATATATATAGAGCTTGTCCCTGAAGCAAACTTGTACCGAGATGAAGCGAGTAAATTAAGTGATCCGTGTGTGTACACAGAAAAGCTGCCGACACAATAAGAAAAGAGACATGGCAGCACAAGTAGGAACAGAATTTGCACACGTCCATGAACACACACATGCGCCAGGCCAGATACATTGTCACCTAGTAGTAGATCTAGATGAAACAAGCAATGCCGGTGATACAAATGCGTTGTATGTGGGTTCGTGGGTAGATTAATTAGATCGATGTAGATCACTGTTCCGATGGCGGAACTAAATCTATATCCACGATTACAACATCTAGCTAATTAAACACACGCACGCACGCACGAAGTGGGCATATCTTACTGCTTAAGGTTTAGGCAGCCAAGCCAGCACGTACACCTGAAACTTCCCCCTCTCTCTATATATATAGTTGTCCGTCGCCGAGGAGTTGAAGCATTTGTGAAAAGGTCGCCTGTCACGTAGCTAGCTAGCCAGTAGCCACGCCAGGCATTTGTTGTGGGCGAGAGTCGGTGAGTTGATGTGCTGCGGCGCCGAGGTGGCGGACCCTGGAGAGCACCGGCGGCGACTGGCCGCCGGCGACGACGACGGGGGAGATGGACGGGAGGAGCATGCACTACTGTCCTCGCCGCCGCCCAATACGACGATGTGGCGGCGCAGACAGGCGCAGGACATGTCGGCCATGGTGTCGGCGCTAGCTCATGTCGTCGCCGGCGGCGTGGGCGATGGTGGCATCGCGTCTTCGACCAAGAGACCCGCCGAGCACGAGGCCTTCGCGGAGGAGGCGTGGTGGTCGACGTCGTACGGTGGTGGAGACGGAGACGGCGGAGCGCCGTCGGCGGCCTCTCCCTTCCTTGCCGGTACGTGGTACGCTTGACAACGACCATGCATCTCCATGCATAAGCATCGTGCAACACGCATAAAACGACACGTAACAATAGTATTGTTAGCCTTAAACATGCTTTTTTAGGGAAGCCTTAAACAAGTTAAGGACATTGCTAACGACTCGATCATTTTTTTATTTGGGAGTTCATCAATCCCTAGTACTCTTTTCGTTTCAAATTACTCGTAAATTTAATTACTTGTTATGGTTTTAGTTTAAATTTACGAGTAATTTAGAATGGATGGAGTACTTCTTAGAAGGAGAGAGAATCAAATTAAGATTTGTAAACTAGAGTACTATCATGAACGATTCGGTAGATGTGCGTACGAGCATGCGTGCCGCGTCAGACACGTGTTCCTCCCCACCTACAACAGGGCATGTTGGTCTTCTTCTTCCATGTGCTCGATAGATAAGTCCAATTAAAAAGGGTTTGAAATCTTAGGAGCCGCCAACAGTATGAAAGGAAATCGGCATTATCGTTTTCCCACTGTTCCATTCATACTACGTACATTGGCAAACCTAGGCTGATTCGTGTTAAAAAAAAACTTTGGCTGATTCATTTCGGCATCATAGCTTCGCGTCGTCCAGCGAAACAGAGCAAGTGGGCAGGAAAGTAGAGTAACATACAGTAGAAAAATACAGAAATTTCTTAGTGACTTGTCATGACATTCTTTCCCTCTCTCCTCTGTTTATTCGACTCGCGTGCAGATTACACAGCAGCGCCCGCCGCATCCTACTCGCCGCACGGGGTGGCAGCCGGCGACGAGGAGCTTCCTTCGCCGTCCTCCGCCGAGTCTGGCGGCTCCGGGGGCACGCCGAGGAAGCGGTACAGGGGCGTGCGGCAGCGGCCGTGGGGGAAGTGGGCGGCGGAGATCCGTGACCCGCACAAGGCGGCGCGTGTGTGGCTCGGGACCTTCGACAACGCCGAGGCCGCCGCGCGCGCCTACGACGCCGCCGCCCTCGGATTCCGCGGCAGCCGCGCCAAGCTCAACTTTCCGGAGTCCGCCACCATCCCGCCACAGCAGCAGCCTCCCCCCGCTCCGGCATTAGCGATGCCACCGCCGCAGCGGCCCGAGGCGTTGCTGGAGTCGCAGGCTCTGTTGGGAGGGCAGGCCTATTCCCACTACGCCAGGTTCCTGCTGCCGAGCACCGGCGGCTCGACGTCGGGGGCGCCGAGAACGCCGGCGCCTCCTGTGATGTACAGCTTCGGAGCCGGAGCGAGCTACCCCATGCAGCCGGAGAGCAGAGGTGAGGGTGCCAGTACAGAACGCCCGGGCCCGGTGGTGACCTCAGCAGCGGCGTGGGCAGCCTACAGCCATGAGCAGCCTGAGCGGCGGGATGACCCGTCGGTGTGATCCCAACGCAACATTCGCTGACTGACAGTCAAAGCGAAGCCGACGGATACTGACAAGGAAGGAAGGAAGAAAAAAGGGTGGACTCGTTTCTCACGTCGCGTGGTCAGCGTGTTCACACGGACAGCAAATTGTTTGGTTTCTTGGTGGAATTGGAATTTCTGAAAAACTTGTGACAAACTTCGTTCATTTATATTGGAAAAAGCTCAGAATCAACCCGTGGATTTTCTCTCCCGCATCCGCCACCTCGCATAGGACGACACGTGTTTCAGTGGGTCCGTGCACCGCTTCACGTGCTACCTTATTATCTCGCTTGATTGCTCAAGCCATATAAATTTTTTCTTGCCTTCTTCCTTTTTTCCCCAAAGCCATTCAGCCTTTTGCATCATACATGCAAGCAGAACAACGCCATCCCATGCCCACCGGCCTGTGAGTAGACATGTCCACGGAAGAGTCTGGCGGACACCACAACCCGGCCATGTCCTTCTCCAACCCAGTCATAGGTATTCATGGAGGTAGCATGCAAGCAGCATCTAACGGCTGGTGGGCGTCCATGAAGGTAGCTTGCAGCAGCTAGCGGGTACAAACAGCAAGCACTGATGGAGTATCATGCATGCTCGCTAGCCGACGCGACCGGCGACGGGGATTGACAGTTGGAGGTGGATGACCTTGTGGTTGGGGGCGACGACGGCGAACAACAGCGATGCTATCAGTGACGTCTATGTTTATGTAACTTCATTTTCATTGGGTTTTTTTTCGCAACATCATCTGTGTTGCAAAAGTTTTTTTCACAACAACACCCATGCTGCAGAAAAATGAAGGCGAAAAAATGTTCTGGAACACATCAATGTTGCAAAAGTCCGTTCCACAACAATATCCATGTTGCAGAAAATTGAAGCCGGAATTTTTTTTCTGCAAAGTCATTCCGTGTTGCAAAAGTTGATTCCACAACAAGATCAATGTTGCAGAAATGTGAAGACGAAAAAAATTCTGCAACAACACTAATGTTGCAGAAGAATTTGTGCAACATGTGCTCTATTGCAAAGATGAGAAAGGGGTTGGACTGTTGGATAGTGTCAGATCTAATGGTTTTAGAGACGGTGGATCTTTTTAAATTATCCGCCCGCGGACGCTTAGCCCCGCCTATATTTTATTTAGATAATAGAAACCGATGCAAGAGTGTAAACTCGAATTTGATAAACCAAGCTTTCCGTGCCGCCCCAAGTTCTCCGTCGGCAGAGACGTCTTTTGACTTCGTACGGATTGGCACTTGTCTAGCCATACAAACACAAGATGCACATTGTCTCTGTTTTACGTGGAACTCAAATAGTTTCACAAAATCAAATGTGTCACGTGTATGACTACGGCAAGAAGACAAGGTCCCTTACAAAATTCTGTCATGTTTGGTTTTTCTGTCCTTTCTTTTTTGAAAAATGAACAGGTGAAGGAAGCTCTTCACCTAAATATATTTCTCAACTTTGCAATCCATCATTTGATTGATTACAAAGATGAATTATATAAGCACGTGTAATCGTGATAAGAGATAGAAACGTCATGAGGAGGCGACATGTTTTTGTTCCGGTTTCTTCATCCGGTGTGTCCAGAGCATCAGATCTTCAATGATTCGCTTAAGGATGCTGACACTGTGGTGGTTTTGTTGTCTGAAGGTCGTAGTATTCTTGGAATCCCAAATCTTCCATAGGATGATGAGAAGCATGGAGTGCCAGATCGCTCGAATCCATTTGGTGAGGAAGGCAGCAATCCCAAAGTTCGTCGATGGTGTCGGTAGGTGAGAAGTCAATCCTTTGCCATATTACTGAAAAAGGCTTTCGTCCCGCTTTATAAATAAAGCAAACCACCACAGCCACAAGGTTCAATAAGGTTCACACCCACACACAGAGTAGCGGCACAACAAATAGTACAAAAGCTTTTGCTGAGGGCACAGCTCAACAAGCCCAAAAAACAGAAGAAAAAAAAGACAAAGCGGACGAGCCATATTCGCTTCGCGAGTGGGCAATCGATGAAGATGTGCGAGCTGGTTTCACCATCGAACCCACATCTTGGGCAGAGGGGGTTTGAGATGACATGCTTGCGAAGAAGATGGAATAGAGGCCAGACAAAGATGTTGAGGACACATGTTGGCCATATGGGCACTGAATGAGCATCGGTGTTGTTGACCGGCGTGGTTAGTTCATAGGTGGTCTTTGTAGTGAAGCGTAGACCGCTGTTGAGGAAGCGCTCGTCTGGTTCCGGCAACACCTAGAAGTCCTGTAGAAGCGACAACAAAGAGCACAACTTGGTAGCGGCGTTAGATGTTAGGTGGTTCCGCAGGATTGATTTCAAACCATGAATCAAAACAGAGGTCACACGAGCAAGTGGTGTAGTGGTGTGCGAGTAGAGGCATGGAAATAGAGCACTGAGTGATTTTTTATGCAGCCAAATATCTAACCAGAAGTAGGTGTTGGTGTCAGAGTTTGTGATTACACTATTACACCACTCGCTCTGTCCGGTTATAAGGGAAGAATGTCTAGTGCCACCAAGGCCCAGGTGCTACCGTGATACGGGATCCTGGGTCATCAGATCTTAAATCGGACAGCATATGGAAACTATTGGATCTGCTGGACCTATACACTATTTTCGGACTCTTAGGGGAATTTCTTCCTTTTGCAAAATATTGCAGAGTTTTTGGGAATGTCCAATCTAAGAATGTCTAATAGACCAAATCATAGTAGCATCTAGTCCTCGGTACCATCAAATATTTTGTTCCCGGTTATAAGGGTATATCTAGAAAATGAGTGTCATATTAGTTCTCTCTCCTCTTATTAGCCTCGGCCAATTAAATTAAAGGAGAAGAATGAGGATTGGGGATTATGCGTGGGAGAAAATGGGGGTTGGAGGATAGAGTGAGGGAGTGAATTTTTTTTTCATGATAATACATGTCTCATTCATATCATAAAGATCAAAGTACAAGTCTCGTAAAAACCGGCATGACAAAACTGAAAAGATAACAAAACACCTCTGAGCTTGACACCAACGTCTGTCACCTGCCTCCAGCACCACCACAACAGCCACCGAAGAAAAAAATGATGGATCACCTCCTCACCCGAGCTCGGCGGGGCTTCATCGCTAATATGCAGCTTTACGGACCTCTAAGATGGCTCACCAAAAATGAAGTCATTATCGTTAAACGAATCAGACCGGGGCAACACTCGGTACACTGTTTGAAGATAAAATTTGTAATGCTAGATGTATACATATGACTAGACGGAGGTAGTAGATCACGTTATTATACACACCTGAGACCGGGAGATTGAGACAAGGGTCTCAAGGACACGGTCCAAGAAATACAGGAGACAAATAATCCATTCACACGTTCAAATTAGGGAACTTTTGGATAAGGTGGCTAGATCATTCGGCTGAATTTTAAATTTCAGCGTTCACAACCTGTCATCGTTTTCTTCTTCCGTTTTCAGCGCAAACCACAATTTAATTAAGTGACTTCGACAAATTGGTCACAACTCTCGTAGTGAAGTACAAAAGACGCAAGAGCCAATCACGTAATGCCGCATCAGCGCCGGGACACATGTGCGCTTTGACTGTACCAACGCGAACACACCTGCACACACGTCAGCAGATAAGGTCAGCCAAGTATGATGCACATCATTGGGATCTAATTAAAGTTGGTCATACCACAAGTTGACTTTTTAGTACTTCCTCTATCTCAAAATATAAGATGTTTAACATCTTATATTTTAACGTCTTATATTTGAGGACAGAGGGATGCGAAGACCATCAAATAGGCCATAGAAACAGCCACACTAGTACTCATTTATGTTGCCGACTCAACGAAGAAGATGAAACAGTATGACCTTTTGTAAAGAGATAATATCACCAGAAGTCATAAAACTTGCTTTGAATGTTTAGTTTGGTGCTAAAAACTTAAAAAAAACGAATTTGTGGTCACTCAACTTGCGTTCACGTGCAAATACGGTCACAGAGTGCGTATGCATGCGTATCTGCCGCTTGCGTGACACGCCATACGCCACGCGTGCATGGCCCCACTGTCAGACTGGGTGGTAGAGGCGCTAGGTGTGACGACATTTTTGCAGAAAAGATTCAAAAATAATCATCATGCCAGCTATCGGACCAGCGACCTATTCAAACTTGCCACGCGAGCTAACCACGCACACAAGGCATTCCTTTCCAGTCTAATAATGAAATGAATATTGTAATGTATTATATTGGTCAACCCAACAAATAATATATTTTTGGCGGGACAACCATAAAATTACTTGAATTCAAAAAAAAAATCTGATTTATCTGAAAGAATTTTTGAGGGCGAGCCAAAAAAAAAACATTTTGAAATTCGTGATTGTTCATGTGTCTAAGGAGGAACACATAATTTTATATGTTGTCAACAACGACTACTTGTATCCAACATTATTTTCTTGATGCCCATTTTTTTCTCAGGACACGTCAGAAAAATCAGTTTCTAGGTAATCTCGGAAATTTCGTATTTTTTCGCCCGAATTTATTCAAACAAATTCAAATTCAATTTTTTTGGCATTACAATATATAAAACTGAACCTAGAAAAGAATAAAGCCTATGCACGATTCCAACGGTTAGTATTGCACATCTGCTAGGTGACCCCAACTTGTGAGTTTGAGTAAATATCAGCTAAAATTACCAAAAATTATTGATGGAGACCATTGGAATCGATCACGTGACCATGGAGCTATGCAGTGCGTTGTATGATTATGTGCATACAAAATTTTATTTGATACAGTTCTGGGTGTTTAAATTCAAAAATACATTTGAAATTTTGGCACGAGGTTCAGTGACCACGGGGATTTCTCAGACCAGAATGAAAATTCCTGCTAATATCTTGGACAGTTTTTTTTAATTCGAATTTCATTTAAAACTTTGAGATTTTCTGAGAACCGGCATTTTTGGTCGCACAAAAAAAACATAATCGAGAAAAAAAACTGCTTTCATTATAAAT